TCAGAATTTTGGAAAACAGTAATTTACATAAATTACAGAGGTATTCAGAAACATCATGTGATCAGTTCCCTGTTTAAACAGTTTGCAAAACCTTTGAGTGCTTTCTAGTTCCACATTATGAGAAAGTGGTGAATCTGACCACCAAATCACACCTACTCAATGAAATGTGAGGTTTAGTAAAATGAAATCCAGAAAAATCCAAACAGATTAGAATTTTACTGTTCTTGGAGTGTTGTCATTACAGTATGTATCATCTCTCCAATCTCACAGTCCCCAATATTAAATTCTGATTGATTTAGACATTTTTGTAACAGATGAAAGGAATGATAATAACTTTCAAAAGTTATTTATTATTGTTTCTTATTAAGTCCTGCCTGCCCATTGAAATTGGAGCTGAAGACAAAAGTCTGTCTAAACAGTATTTTTTAAAAATATATTTGCCTTTCAGTGGAAGAACAGCAGAAGGGAGAACATTTCAAAGGCTGGAAGCAGCCACTCCATTCTTCTGAAACAAGTCTGAAAGAAGAGCCTCTACAAAGGATCTCCAAACATTAGCAAGCAGACTATAACTTTGTTCTATGTGATTTTACAGCTTGATTATTATTTCAGCAGCTTCCTCTAAATATCTATCAAGTTTCTGTATAAGGTAATTCCTCAGGGAATCTTTTTACAACTTGCATACATTCTGTTATTTTTGTACAACACGTGCATGATGCCAACATCATGCAAATGCCATGACTTGCATCTTTGCATCCTTGCACTGTGATGCAAATACATTGCATAACAACATAATCACACACTTATTGCCATTTTGATGTTATTCTGTTTTGTGACAGATACCACAATCATAAGTCCTCTTTTGGATGGAAGTATAGATCCAGCAATGATAAAAGAGAAGTGAAGCACACACACACACACACGTTTCATTGTGCCATTCCTAGGTGTGTCATGCCCCAGCTTCTTCCTGCTTCAATTACATGGTAGCCAAAAATCTGACATGATCACACAAATCCAGTACAATACAGTAGCATAACATTGGGAACAAGAGGATGGAGGAATAATCTTGCTTTACTGATGAAGGTATACCCCATCTGGCAGAGCTCTAAATGTTTTTGAATTTAGCAAGACTTTATTCTGATTAATCTGCATAGGACTATGCAATAAGACTCCAATCTTAGATATACTAATTTAGAATTCCGCTCCACTGAACTCTTTTGGAACTTATTCTAAATAAAATTGCACAGAATGGGACAGCACTCCAGTTCTGGGAATCATGTAGTATACAATAATGATGACTTAGGTGTATAGCGGATAGTTCAATTAATTCAAGTTAACCTATTTTTGTTGCTAATTTATCTTGTTACTCTTACAACCTCATAAATAAAACAATATACTCAAAACTGTTTTACATTTTTAATTTTAAGAATGCCTCTCCCTTTAAGCTCTCATTTTTCAGAGCAAGCTCAACAAGCTCTGGGTTATATTGTCCTACAGTTTCCCAACAGTCTGCTGTAAGTATTGTCAACAAATACTTCATCCAAGGCTATTTGAAATCATTGGCAAATCTCTGCTTTGGTGATCTTCAATAACATCATTATTCTTTAGTAATACTACGTATAACACTCCAGCTCTGACATAGTTTAAAAGAAAAAAGAGTTCTTCATCCTTGGTTTGCACAATCATTGGTTCTCTAAAGGTTTTTAAATTATTATTTCTGCGCCTCCCAGTCCCCTGAGTATTTCACATGAAACAAGTCTTCCTGTGTCATATTTAATGTGCAATAAATTCTACACATTTTGTAACACAATTCCTTGCAATTTCTTGAAAAATTTTACAGCAACAGTTTTACAGGATATTTACTTCAAACTCTGTTTAATTTTTCTCTAGAGTAGCCAACTCTTTGATTTCTTTCTGGCAAATGACTTTAGAAATGGAGGACAAATAAAAACATTAAAAAATGAGAAGGCCAAATAAGAATTGTTGTGAGTCTGGTACAGGCATACCAAATAGCCAAGAGACTGGCTTTTATAATATGCTCAGCAAGCCCAGGATCACAGTTGCCAGGAAAACTTCAGGATACTAGATAATTACACCATGGTCTATTAGCCTGGAAGCTCATCACATTGGTACTGTGTTTTCTGCATTTTCTGCATTTTGAGGTCAGCAGAAGAGACAATGATGGATTATTTCAACTGTACAGTATCATGAAGTATTGTGTATATGTGGAAATGCCCAAGGTTTTAAGTATTCCAGAAAACGAATGAGTAAATCATCATGCTATTGGACATGCAACCAAAATAATACTTAATTAAAACACGTTTTTGCAATGGAATGGATTTTAGACTTAAACCAAATTTACAATCAGAGTGGACCAAGCTTGAAAGCCATGTATAGAATGACACTATGCAGCTCTTAAAATAAACTGCACAAGAAGTTCAATGGGAGAATTAAAGAATTTGGAATTTAAAAGAATATATCATGTAAAATGTTGACATTATACCCTGGGGTAGCCCCCAAATGCCAGAAAAGGACAGCTGAAGTTGAAAGACCAATACAGTGTGTGAATACGTTAGAGACTGTGAACAAGCTGCAGAACCTTTTCTGCTTACCTAAGGGATACACAAGTGGGGACTCTCCAGATGTTTTGGATTCAATTCCCATCAGTCTCAGCCAACATATACGGGCTGTGGGAATTGGAACCCAAAATTCTAGAGGGCATCCAGATGGCTTCTTTCACATTACATGTAGAACATGAGCATTTTATTTGCAGGTTTTGGGGGGTGGGGAAGAAAATAGAGGGTACATCAGTAAATTATTAAGAATTTAATTCTTATATTTTAAAACATTTTTTAAAGCTCCTAAAACACTGTATCATCATTAAACAAAAAAGCACCCAAATTGTTTATTAATTGGTTGTGACATCCTTGAGGTATATAAAAAAGTAAAAATTAAAACAAAATGCTGGATGTAATTTTGGCATTCTAGGGAAAAAAAGGCTCCAACACAGTCTTCCTGTTGAAAGAAAAGAGTTGACCGTGTGTGTGTGTATTCATTCTCTTATAGTCACCATCTTCTTCAGTCTATGCCCTCCAGATATGTTTGATTACAAAGCTCATAATTCCAGTTAGCATAACCAGACTATGTAAATTATGGGGATTATTTGGAAGGTAAAAGGTTGAAGAAGACTGTTCCAGAAGATTTCCTGATGCTGCAGAAGAGTTTCTCAGTACACAGCCTGTATTGGGAAAGAAAAATGGAACAACTTGGCACCATCTCTCTTTCTCCTGCTCTAAAAAATTCTAAGGCTCACATACCTGGATCCAGTACAACATGTGGTTAAAAGGAATTTGTTTCTCATTTCAGGTGGAGAAGTGCCTGCAGCATGTTGCACATAAAAAGGGGCTTTAATTCCATGGTCAGGGCCACCATCTTGACTTTTTTGACTCCCTACAGGGCAGCTTCCACAGGAGGAATCTATTTCAGTCTGAGAAAGCTCATGATGTCTCAAATTGTGTAGATGATATTGACAACATTACAGAGTTAAGCAGAATTATTTCTCATTTGGCAGTAGTGTACAGGTAGTCCTCATTTAGCAACGGCTTCAATTAGTGACTGTTCATAGTTACAACAATGATGAAAAAGTAACTTTGTGACCAATCCTTGCATTTACGACCTTCGTAGGTCTGTAAAGCAAAGGAAAGTTGAAGTAAGATCATAAGCACAGTTGTGGTTTCACTTAGCAACCACTTTGCTTAATAATCAAGTTGCAGGTCCCAATTGTGGGTGCTAAACACGGGCTACCTATAGTGGAAGTCATGGTGAAACTAGTATTTTATTTCACAGTGCAAGGGAATTCTTCCCCTATCTGGCCTCCTAATCCCTGGGTTCAGTTTATTTTTTTCATGCATCCAGGGAAATATACTGCATAAAGTAAGAATATGGGTGGGGTGCGGGAAGGAAGGTGCAGTAATTTATTTTGTCTCCCACTTTGGTGGAATGGGAGTGAGAATCTTTTCCTTATTCCAGAAACTGGCAGCTGTGGGCAGTGATTATTTGTTATTCTTTGCTCTAGTTCCCAGCATTTCAAGATTAGCAGCAGTGAAACTGTGATGGTAATGGTGCAGAATGGACCTGAAGCTCTGTTTGCACAAGTCTGTCCCAATTCACCAAATTGCCTGGATTTTGAAAACACAGCAAACTACACCCCAACCAACCATGTTTTCTTGTAAGGGGGTGTGCTCATTAGGGATATGCGTAATGGTGCAGGCCAAACCAAGCTTTCTGGGAATGGTTCATGTGCCTGGAACAGGAAGTTCTGTGGACTCCTTTCTGTTCCTAATGATACAGGTCCGGAAACTCACAAGCCACACTTGGACTTTTGGAGGGCCTGTTCCAGGAGAAAAATGGAATGTTCTGGAAGAAACTGGAATATTCCAAAGTCAAACTCCACTCTGTTGTGCACACAATTAGAGTCAACACAACCACTGATTTAACTAGAATGAAATAGCATTTGTTATTGGTGATTATCTTTTTTTTGGAACAAATACACCTCTTCAACAGAGTTTCTGCATCCTGGGAAGGGACCAGACTTTGGACGGCTTGAAATGTCGAGCGGGGGCTGTTGGGCTTCTCTGTTTTCCATCCTCAAAGTGTTTCGCCTCTTTGGAGAGCCTACACACCTAGGTCTCTGCCAAAGCATTTTGGCCTCGCATTTGCAGGCCTCGGTAAGAGCTCTCTGTCCGAGAAGAGTCAACCTCACAGGGAAGGGAAGGGAAGGGAAGGGAAGGCAAGGCGGCTGATGTGCAGGAATTTTTCAGGACAGTCTGGAGCTTTTGGGAGGCTGCACTTAGGAGAGAGAAGAGGGAAGAAGTTTCTACTCATTCAAACTTCTCTGGAGGTTTATTATTACAGTCTCTTCCTTGCCTCACTTTACAGTCCAGCTCGTGAAAGAGGCGGGGGAAAGGGGAGCT